TAAATTGCTCAAACATATGGTAAAAACGCTTTGCACCTTTATTTGATTCCATTCCTTCTACTCAAATCATTCTACGTTCATCTTCCAATAGTAATATTTTTAAACCAATGATTAGAATTTCTAAAGACTTTACTATTATCCCCGATGAAAATGGCATTCATATTTACGTAAACCCCCAAGTAATTAAATTTTTTATTTTTTCGTAAAATAAAGCGGGATTCTATGGAATAAGGCATGAAGTGCGATTATTTGAAATATGGTTTGGATAATTGTATGTGATAAGAAAATTTTCGATCAATGGTAGTGACTGATTCCGTTTATAATTAGCACTATCTCAAGGTAAACACACAATAAGCAAATATTCTGACTTCGAGAGTTATTATTTATTTATAATGCAAACGTAATTTCTTAATACATATATATACCAGGCATATCATTAACAACTATTGTTCAACATAAATAGCATACGTATTCTGGAGGTATTCTCATTGACTGTTTTTGATTTTCTAAATTAAAGAATTTCATTACCATTATATCAAAATTCATAGTTCGTCACAGTTCGTACTCCAAGCAATCATGTAACCTTCAGCACTGGACACCATTAAGCGTGGACATTTGCATTATTAGTCAGATCTCTAAGAGTCATCCCGACTGGAATTCGGATAATTTCCTTGGTCACTTGTAAATTATTCTTGCAATGTTTTGATCGATTCTTCGGATTTGTGCTAGGAATTAACGGTATCGTTCTTGTAGAAGTTTCCTCTAAACATAATAAGCAAGAGGTCAGAATATGTTGTTTTCATTGATTTTAATAATTATTATTATTATATTTTTTGAGAGATAATTGTTTTGGATGAAAAATGTTAAACAAATCCAAATTTTTGTATTAAATTACCAGTTTGTCCCGAGCGCGTAGCAGCAGGGGGGATCGACGTTATACAAGTATTTATATAGGATAGTAGTATAAAACCAGAATTTTCGGGGTATTAGTAAACTTAAAAAAAAATAAACTAACCGTATAATATTTTGCTAATTAAATAACTTCCCAGCGAACGTTTTGTTAAGAAAGTCAAGTTGAATCGCGCAATAAAAGGTAGATCTACTAAGAGTTGAAGTACTGTCTACTGTATAGTAAAAGGTAATAAAAATATATTGTATTGCTTAATTCACAAAGTTCAACGTTGTTTTTTCTTTTTTTTCTTATTTATTATTATTTAAATAATTA